AAAGAAAAGAAAAGAAAAAAAAATGGCCCTCTCCCGGCCTTTCCCAGTTTGACCCCCTGGTCCCTCCCAGCAGAAGCTGCTCCTCTTCCCTGGCCTGCATCCTTGCAAACCCTTCCGTGGGCCTCCCGGCTCCTGACGCAGCCCAAGGTTCCAGCTTTGGCGGTGGGTGGTGAACTGGCGTGGGGCGGTGGGGGGGGGAGAGGAAGGGGGGGCCAAAAGCACAACAGTAAAGGGCACCGGGCGAACGGCAGCCAGACTCGGTTGGGAGGGCTGCCAAAATTCCCAAGTCCTTTTGCAAGGAGGGAGGGGAGGCCCTCCCTCGGGAAAACCTGCCAGCCGCCCTTTGATCCACAGAAAGGAATCCGGATCGGATTCCCGTTCCCCTTCCGGCCACGCACAAAACCGCTGGGGGAGCCACTGGATCACACCCACACGCCCAGTGTGCATTCGGCCTCCGTTTAGCCCTCTGGGCACAGCGTGACCCTCTCTCTCCCCATGCTGGAAAAGCGGCTCCTCTTCCTGAGGGGTGAGCTGAGTCACGTCTGTGCCGGATTTCCCCAATACCGCCCTTTAGGGATGTCTTTGACCACTGTGGCTGAGGATGATGGGAACCGGGGTCCCAACCCATCAGGAAAGGACCAATGGTGATCCTAAAGGGTCTAGAGAGAACCCAACCGATCCCGACTTTTACTCGCCATTTTTTCCCTTCCCCCACCCCCGGGAGAGGCTTAAACTCTTCGTCCAGACAAGCCTAACGTGGGAAGCCTTCTGGATTCGCAAAATCAGCTTTGCCTCTTTCTCAGCCCTTCTGTCCTCTTTCGGGTGTTTTAAAGACGTTGCAGGAGTGCAAAAGACGAATACGCTGTCGGATAAAATCATGGCAGCCACGCAAAGAAAAGTTGACGTGGTTTGCCCATCAGAAACAGCTGTCTTTTTTTTTTCTTCATTTTTGCATCGTGTGCCACATTTATGGCATTTATTTTTAATGTTTTTCAATATTTTTTAATCATTATTTTTATATATTTGCAATATTTTTACTGCAATGTTATATGCCACTGAGTCATTTTTTGTGAAATAGACGGCCATATAAATTTGATAAATCGATTGAAAGAGCTCCTGCTGTAACAGACTGACTCAGAGAGAACAATTTGGACGATTCGATTAATTTTTGTCTGGATTCAGAGGTTCAGCTAAACCAGTCTCAAATACTGCCTTTAAAGCCAACCCTCACACATCCCTAACTCATATAGACACAATACATAGACAGACAGACTATCTAATTCTTTGTTTACCAAGTTCGATAAAGCCTCAAACAATGCCTGCTGTTGATAGATGATCACAATTATGCTAATAAGCTAGGCCCAGAACATCTGACAAAAAAACCTATTAGATATAGTTTGCAATTACATCCACAGTTATTAAGCGTTCTTCTCACTTTTTTCCTGCCAATGTGAAAAGTGTGCTGAAGATACAGTTGAATATTTTGCTCATAATATACACAGCCAAAGTGGCACAGGAATACTTCACACCTACATGGGGAAGGCAGAACAGATAACAATTTTACAAACTCTACCGTCAGCCTTACAGAGTCACAAACCACCTGGATGTCACTGTGGGGAGAAACTCAAAAGAGTTCACCATGGAGGCTAAGGAACTTAAAATGAGTTACCATTATCAGCAGGACTTGAATATTTTGGAAGGCAACTGATGCCAAAGCTGGTTTTTCATTATGGCTTTCGCTTCTCAACTTTACTTTACGTATCCTGGCAAAAGGCTGGTTATTTATATGACCCTCTGGATTTAAAGACGCAACCCACCATATTTTCTTTTCCCCATGGGGATAGACATGCCTCTTAAGGGTGACACGTCTTCTGGCAAAAAGGCAGATTGTTTCTTACGGAGAAAGACGGCTTGCGTCTGCTTTGACATTTAATAAAACAATAACCACACCCCTAAAAGCCAGTGGCAGGCTTGTAGATCTGGGCCTGACTTGTAAATATGTCAGAAGGATGGTGCTTAGATCCTAGACACCAGACTAGGTGTGGTCTTGTCCAAATGCAGGCAGATTGGAAGGCTCTTTTTCTGCACAATTCTGGGCCCTCTCCCCACCTGAAGCTTCTGGGTTTCAGAGCCACGTGCCACGACAATCCCTACACAGCTTTCTCTGGATTCTGTCTGCGCTACATCAAGTAACAATCTCTCTCCAGATGCAACGCAGCTCTGGCCATCGGCAATGTCCAAACTGAAAGCAAAGGACGCAGGAGCCCAAGTAGAAATCTGTCTGCCCCTGGTTCTTGGGGGCTCTTCCACCCAGGGGAAATAAAACCTGGCCCAGAATCAATCAGAAGGCCGCTTTCTCATCAGGTCTCCTAAGTAAACTCGAGAGCAGCCTAACTTGTTTTTAACTTCCCAAAGTTCCCTGGAAATACCTTACAACCAATCACCTGTGACTTGTGTGGCAATGCACAAAGTCAGAGGGAAGGTGAAGCTTCCCAGCCTTGTTGCCAAGTGACATTTTCAGCAGTTTCACAGTCACCCAAGCCTCATGTCGACGTCCACGTGGCCACCTGGAAATCTGCTGATCTGCCCTCTGCCTCTTTTTTGTCGAGACAAACCCAGTGGCGCACTTCTCAAAAATTTATGTCTGATACTGAGCGCATGGAAAATGAGCCCACTCACCTCTAATGACTTCCTTCAAGATTACCTTTAATTTTAAATCCAACTGGAACTGGTCTTTTTCCAATATTGCTCCTACACTTTATAAAGCAATCCGTAAGACCAAACCTATTTGTTCCAGAGATGTTCAGCCTGAGATCCTAGAATTACGTCTGGCCAAATCTTATTCTGCAACTCCCAAGGATCTTCAAATATTGCTTAAAAAAAAAAAAAAATCCCCACGAAGGAAACTTGATTGCAGAACAATCCTACCGACAACACTCATTTTTTTAACGACAAGTAACTGAAAGCAAATTCTGGGTTTGTCTTGGCAGCGCCTGAAATGCAGGCAAGCCCAATCCAAGGGTGCTGATCTTCTAGTCTTCCCCATATGGTGGCCTCCAGTTGTGGCTGACTACAATTCCTACAGTGCCAGATGGGGGCCTTCTATCGGGTCATACTGGATGAAAAGAATACGTAGTCTAAAGGGATGCCCTCTAGACACCTCAAGATGGCCCTGGACGGTGTGCAAAAGCTGGTTTACAGAGGAATAAAACCGAGTTGTGGCAACAACCACCTGTAAACTTCCCTGTTATCACTGAAGGGAGACGCCTCCCCTCTGGGGCACCACCAGGCTCTGAGAAAAAAACTTCAGGGAAGCTCCACCTTAACAGGCACCCAGATAGATCCGAGGCTTGACTGGAAAGTTTGGCTGCTGAAATTTTTGGGCCACAGCAACTCTTTTACATTAAAAAAAAAAAAACCTCTCGCAGGATTCATTTTTTTCTCGCCACATACATGTACACATCTGGACTAGACTGTGTTGTCTCTCTGTGTCATAGAACATATGCGGGTATACGCATAATTTTGTATTTATTTAGTCCTGTTTATGTAGTGTGTATTGGAGGGGGTGACCTTCTGAGAGCTGTATACAACGAAATTACACTTTAAAGTGTGTCGATTTGTGTACATTCAAAGTGACAATAAAGTTATTCTAAGCCGAAGCCGAAGCCTACTAAACTGTCCCGGGGAGAACCGGCTTTCATCGTGGGCCTTCCCCGATCTTTCCTTGCCACAGACACCCTGGAGGGCATCCCATCCCCACAGTGCCGAGAAAGCCCCTCTTGCCAATGCAGTGGGAGAGCAATTCCACCCACCTCCTCCATAAAACCCTCCCCAGGAGCCCATTTTAAGCTTTGGGAAGGGTCAAGGTGGTGGGGTGGCTAGTTGGGGGGACTTGCGGGGTGGGATCAGTAATAGAGATCCACCCCGAAAGTCCCCAACTAGCCATCCTTTGGTTTCCCCCCAAAGCAATTGTTTCATGGCTGTCCTGCAGCTTGTTTCTTTTTACCTTTTATTTACACGGGGAGCCAAAGAGAACAGAGAGCTCACCCCCACCCCCGAAGGAGCTCCTCAAGCTCCCCCAACCAAGCCCAGAGAAAGGCACCCCCCCCTTCTTCTTCTTCCTCCCTTGACCGACAACCCCCCCCCAACCAACCCTCAGGAAGCCCAAGGGACCCGGGATGAAGGCCGCAGAGGCAGAAGCTCCTGCGCCCTTCTTTGCGGGGAGGAGGCACAAGCAGGGCCGAAGCAGCCGCATCTTTCGGCCCAACTGGATCCCCCCCCGCCCCCCGCGCACCTCTCTGGGCTCCTTCTGGCTGGAGGAAACGAGCGGGCGGGGGGGGGGGTTGTCCCATCCCGGGTCTCTTTGGGGAGGCGGCGGCTTCCCCTCCCAGGATGCTACCAGGCGGGCCGGGAGGGATCCTGGGAGTTGAAGTCCTTCACCCAGCCACCCAGCCACCCCGCCTCGCGCGTCACCCGGGCCTCTGAGCAGGTGCAGAGCGCGCGGCCTGGCAGGAAGGCCCCGCCCGGGGAAGGTCGCGCCTGGCGGGCCTCCTGCCGTGAGTCAGCACCCCGCCCGGCCCGCGCCTCCCCACCCCCGCCCCGCACGTGGGCCGGACTGGTTCTCCCCCCCCCGGACCCCCCTTTGTCTCCAGGCAGACCGGCGGCGGCGGCGGCGGCGGAGGCCTGCAGTGCGCATGTCTCGGGGCGCCGCGCTTGGGCCTCGCCGCCCGCCCGCCCGCCAGGCAGGCCTCCTCGGGTGAGCCCGGCTGAGGGGAAAAGGCGGCCCGCCCGGACGCGTGTCAGGCCCGGCCAGCGCCCTCCGTCGCCTACCTTGCGCGGCGCTCCGCTGCTGCTACGGCGGCGGCTGAGGGGAACGAGGCGGCGGCGGCGGCTGAGGCGGCGGCAGCAGCGGCGGCGGCGGCGGCGGCGGGGGAAGCAGCTAGCCGCGGGCCCTGGAGGCGAGGGCGGCGGGCTGGGGCTGCGGCGCGCGCCTAGCATGAGGGGCTCGTGCGGGCCGCCATCTTCGCAGGAGGAGGAGGAGGAGGAGGCGGAGGAGGCGCGGCGCAGCGAGGCGAGGCAGGCCAGGCCGGGCGAGGCGGACGGGGCGGGGGGGGGGGGGGAAGCCGCAGAGCCGCCCCCTCCCTCCCTCCTCCCGCCCGACGCGGCGGCGGCGCAGCAGCAGCAGCGAATCAGAGCGCGCCCCGCGGCCGGGCGGGGAACTCCAACGCCGGGGAGGAGGAAGGGGAAGGGCCGGCGCCTCTGATTCCCCCTCGCCCCGCCCACTTCACTCGTTCGCCCTCCCTGTCTGGCGGGGCCTGCCATAGCAACGCCCCCGCCCCGCCCCCGCCGCCGCAGCTAGCGCGAGGCCCTGCGACCGAGGGAGTTGCGGAGGGAGGGGATAGTTTTTCACGGAATGGATTGGCCTGCCCTCCCCCACCCCGGATTACGTGGGCTATGGGAGCGGGGGGGGTCTACCGAGATTAAGTGTGAAAACCTTCCCTCCCCTACGCCGCCGCCACGGCCAGAGGCCGAGGCGCGTCGAGAGCGGCGTTGCCAGGCAACCTCGCTTGGAGACGCGCCTGCGCCCGCTCTGGCGAGAGAGCTGGGAGGGGAGGGGCGTCATTCTGACGTCATCGCGGCGAGGGAACGGACGCCCCGCCCCGTCTTCGGGATTCAGCGGACGCGGCTGGGCTGGGCTGGGAGTTGGTGGCCGAAACCCGGATTTTATTAGCCCTTCCCATTGTTTCCCAAACCCCCCCCCTTAAGAAAAGCCCAAGGCCTGACTGAGTGGACATGGCTTAGTGGTCATGTTATTGGCTGGGCGTGGCCAACTCAACATCCCTCACATCGGGGCACGCATCTCCTCGCCTGGCCTCTCATGACTGTGGGGATGCTGCAACAGTCGTAAGTGTGAAAAACAGTCATAAGTCACTTTTTTCAGTGCCATTGTAACTTTGAAGGGTCCCTCCACACAAGCAAAGTACTAGGAAAGGAGGGGAAAAATCTCCAGAGAAGTTCCTGGGACAGGAAGTCTAGTCCTGCCAAGAATGTAATAAGGGTTAATGGAGAGGCAGTTTCTGTAAGCAACCCCAGAATGTTTCCTTCCTGCCTTCCTTACAGGATTAGGCCAGTAATTCCTTCTAACAACCGGTTCTCCGAACTGCATAGAATGTTTACAACCGGTTCTAGCGAATAGGTGCGAACTGGTAGAATCCCACCCCTGGCGCTATGGCAGAAAGGTCTGAACAAAACCAGCGTGTCAGTCACTCCTTTGTAGAGCAGGATGATGGTCTTCAGTGCCCGCCAACCTGGCCCCTGCTTGGCTCTCCCGTGCCCCAGAAGCAGAGGTCATCCCAGGACCAAGCGCTTCGGAGCCAGCTGTTCCCACTCCAGGGCCTGAGAAATGAAGAGCATTCCTGGCGGCTCCCCTTGCAGCTGTGCCTGCTTGTCCAGCAATTTGGCCCCTTCATCAAATTCCAGGAGTTCAGGTAAATCAGTCTCGTATCTAGCAGGGTTGTTTACTTTGCAGATTGAGTTAATTGAGGGCAAAAAAATGAATCCAGCATCAGCTGGAACCTTTTTTTACGGCAGTTCAAGGAGTTGGAACATCAGTGGTAATGAGAAGAGACACTGCTGGGAATTCCTGCCATAGACCCCGTCAGAGAGAAAGAGAGAGAGAGAAGGAGAGATGAGAGCGAGATAATAGATGCTACCAGAGAATCTCCTCCACACGGTGGCATTGGATCAAAGGTACACAAACAAAGCAACTTCCCAAGATGCCACCTAGGCCTTGAGAAACTTGTCATGGTTGCAGCCTGGCACGCGACTGTTATTTGGGCCCTGAGTTGGTAGCAACGCGATTCAGGGCTCCAGAGAATATTTTGTTTACCTGCAAATCAAAGGGCCGTTGCATAGAATTGAAGGAGCTTAATCTAACTCTGGGGAAGTCAGGGTGGTGCGTAAACCCTGCCACAAGGACGGAAGGCTTGTGGGGGGCGGGGGAGCCTGCCATGTCTTTGCACCCCTCCTGTTCTAGGCATCCCTTGGTTCCCATAAACAGGAGCTCTTTTGAAAACTAAAATAAGTGAGTGCTCCGTTCGTCCAAGAAATATTGACTACACAATCGTGCCAGTGCAGGGAGGAGAAAAAAGCTTTCCAGATCCATAGAAAGAGCAGTTGGACTCCACACCCGTCAGAGAGGCAAAATGGGTCATGCTAGGAGAAGAGAAAAGAAACCAATTTTGCCAGATGCCGATGAAACCCTGGATGGAAAAGTCTCTCTCTCTAAACGGACAATCGCCAAATCATTTGGGGCCGGCTGGAAAGCCCCAGAGGAAGAGATTTAATTTCCCTCTTCTAGAACTGGGGCAGGGGAGGGAGCGAGCGAGCGAGGGGAGGGCTGGCAGCAGCGACTCTGAGAAAGCCAAAAATTACCCCTTTTTTTTGTGTGTTTTTTTTGGCAAAACCCAGACTGGTCCAAAATAATCCACTGCCACATGACAAAGTAGCTAAGCCTTTGCCCAGAGGAGGAACAGCTGCCTGGCATCTGCCGGATGATGGAGAAAGGAGGCAGAACCCAGAGGAGGAGGAGGGGAGGCAACGGAGTGCGCGAGATGAGGGCTCGCAGGGTAGCCTGGGAGAGCTGAATTAAAGTTGGTGCCACCACCTCTTGCGGCAAAGCCTGCTCCCCAGCAGCTGTCAGTCATGGAAACATCCAGACAGTTCAGTGCTGGAGGGGGGTGGGGGTGGCGGCTAAAGCCACCCATCCCTGCTTGAGGATAATGGAAGCTTCTCCCTTCTTCATCAGCCACTCCAGCTGATGAACTTCTGGCAGTCCCGATCCCCACAAAGCCGGAGACACACTCCAGGAGAACTCCTGGAAAGCATCTCTGACGCTCTTTGGCTACTGATCCTGCACTCAGCTCGGCCTCTCTCGCATAGCGTGCACCCCTAGACCCTCTTCCCAAGAGGAAGTCCCCGCAGAAACTCCTGTGGGACTTGTGCCAAGTAAGGAAAGGATTGAAACGCTACGCCTTTCGGTCCAGGTAGCATTCGGACTTTAATAACTACGTGGACCTATAAATAACGCTCCGGGATCAGTGCTGTCCCTCTTCCTCATCCTGAATTTCATGGCAATCACCCCCTTCCTTGGCCTGCCCCAGATAGATTCCCAAGACCGCCAAGTTTAGCAGCCCATGCGAAACGCGGCGACGTAGAACATCCGAGCTTCGGTGGCCTTCGCTCCACAGGGACCACGCGGGCTATTAGGATAATTCAGGCTATTTTGCAAATCCAATCTGGGGAAGCAAATTAAAAACCTCCAAACCCCTTCATTAGATCGCAGGGGGTGGATTTCTCAAGAGGGGCGGAGAGCTGGCACAATCGGGGCATGGACGAGCCTGGCGTTGAATCCACCCGCTCCTTTCCAGCAGAGAAACGAGGCGACGCAGCCGAGCTCCAGAGGCAGGCCAGAGAGCGGCCAAACGGAGCGCCTTGAATCCCAGCTCATGGAGCTGAGCCCAGCTGAGGGTGCAGGATTTGCCCTTAGAAGGGAAGCTTAGCCTGGGCCTGGCACACGTGCGTTTCGCCCAGCTAAAGCTCCAAGCCTTAAAAAAAAAGAAGAAGAAGAAAGAAAGGATGGGATGGCTCTTGGCAAGCCGACTCTGCCCAACTGGTTCTGCTGCTCCCCAGAGGAAGGAGGGGAGGGCAAGGCGTGGCACCCTCCCTCCACGCCACTTTCTGCACAGCCTCAGCAAACCGGCCCCTGCGAAAGGCTGGGTGAGCCGCCTGCAGGACGCTTTCCGTGGGGGCTGCCGGGGGAAGGCGGCTGAGGGCAGGAAAGAAAACCGGTCTGCCATGCTGCCACCTGCTGCGTCGACGGCACTGGTTCCCAGGCTCTTCCCGCTCCTGCTTCTGGCATGGGGGAAAAGATCCGCGTTTGCAAGGGCAGCATTTAAGGAACTGCCAGCTCCCACGTTTATAGTTTCACTGATTATTCACCGCCCGTCCAGGGAGTTTTGGTGGCTCCTCAAGCATTTCTCCACACCCATTCCTTCCCACCTCTTCTCCTTGTAGTGCCAGAAAGGCGGCCATGGCCCTACCGTGGGTTTAAACCCTGCAGCCTGTAGTTATGCTGTTGTTGGGTTTTTTAATGATTTGCTTTGTAGCTTTTGGTTTATCGTTAAGATGCACCGTTTCCTTTTCTCCCGTGAGAGCAGGGCTTAAACCAGAGGTGGGTTTTCAGGTTCTGACCAGTTCTGGAGAACCGGTAGCGGAAATTTTGAGTAGTTTGGAGCACCGGCCAATCCCACCTCTGACGGGAGATTTTACAGTAACCTTCCCCTGCCACGCCCACAGAACCGGTAGTGGAAAAAAATTGAATCCCACCACTGGCTTAGACCCTCCTGCAATAGGGGAATTGTGACGGGGTTGAAAAAGGAAATAATAGGAACTTTGGAGAGTCGGGAATCAAAGCTCTGCTTGCAAAGGAACCCATTTCAACCCAAGACCCTGCTCCTCCCAAACACCTCACTTCAGACGGTTGCAGTTGTCTGGCAGGCCTGCAGCTCCTTCTCGGTTCCGTCCTTGGGAAGCGGAAGGGAATGTGTGTCATTCTTGTGAAGCCTCCCGAAGGACGAAGGCTTGAAAAGGAAGGGCAATTGGAAGTCTGCTTGTAAGTCGAGGGTTACAAATTATATAGCCCATCCCCATAAGGATCAAGGCTTTAGATCAGGGCCCCCCACAAGCTTGGCTGGAGAATTCTGGGAGTTGAAGTCCACAAGTCTTAAAAGTTGCCAAGTTTGGAGACCTCTGCTTTAGATTAATATGCCTTCTCTCAGGCCTGTGAACTTTAAGGCGGGTGGACTTGAGGTTCCCAGAATTCCCCAGCCAGCCACAGTTGAGTTGCAAACTCATGAGGTCTTGGAGTTAGCAGCTCTTTTCCGCATTTCAAAATTCATGTGAAAGGCCACCGGAAAGGCAGAGCCTCCAGTAGGAGGAGCTGACAATTCTGGAAGCAGCTGGCGGATCCATGCATCTTTTTGGACAATGAAATTAAAATCAGACGACTGGGGGAGGGGGAGAAGGAAAGGGCCCTCTATGAGAAATACTATAAATCCCATTTTCTTTGCTTTACTGCCCCCTGCTGGCTCTTTTCTCTAGCTGCAGGGGTGCGGATGGGGGCTTGAAGTCTTTGTTCGAACCAGGGAACAATTACCTCTTGCGCATATACACACTTCTCTTAGGCAACAACTTTGGAGCAGGGAAAAACGTCAGGGGAGTTTTCCATTTGCCAAAAAGCAACCGAAGGAAATCTTTCTGCGCGAAAAAAAGAAAACATTGATGGCTCAAGCATTTGATAAAATATGCATACAGGACATGCCTTAAGCCAAATAAGTGTCCTAAGTAATTACATGTTTTCTCCCTCCTAATGCTCATCGAATGAACTGAAACCAGCAATGATGATGTGGAGACTTAACAAACTTTGCCCCTATTTTCAATTGCACCTTTTGAAATTCTATTTATTTTGGTTTTCACCATGGGAACAGGGAATATTTTGACCAAGATCGCTGTTGAATTGGCTTCTGGAATGCTCTTGTGGGCTGCCAAAATCTTCCCCCAAACTTCTTCTGAAGTTGGTTCAAGAGAAATTCTAATATTCCCTTCCTGGGAATAAAATCCTGGCTTCTTGTTTGTCCCAAAGATGCTTTTTGAAAAGGCAACTGGACTTCCTTGGTTTCTCCTTGAAGGGGAAGAAGCTGAAGAAGCTTCTTGGATGAGAAGAGAAACGTCTTCAAGGAAAAACAAAGTCCAGCTGCCTCCCGAAAAGGCCCCTTTGGGGAAATCCTGGCTGCTTATTAGTGTTGGAAAGAGACAGGCATAAGTAATACTCAGAATATCATCACCCTCCCCTCCATTAAATGCAGACTGACATTAATCACGGGGATTTTCTAAGTGCATCCACTGACTTAACCATCTGGAGAAAATAAATATACAGGCGGTAATAAAACTCTTATCTATGATCAGAGGTGTCCTGCCCCCTTGTGGCCACAGAGATGCATGCAGCCTCCTTTCACGGCTGCTCTCCAGATATCCAGGAGCTGGAATGTTTCTCAGGTTGCAAGACTTACCTTAAGGAAGTTGGTCCCTTGGATGCAGAGGTGGGTATTCAGGTTCTGACCAGTTTTGGAGAACCGGCAGCGGAAATTCTGAGTAGTTCGGACAACCGGACAACCCCACGTCCGACTGGAGATTTTACAGTCTCCTTCCCCTGCCACGCCCACCAAGCCACGCCCACAGAACCGGTAGCAAGAAAATTGGAATCCCACCATTGCTTTGATGGTCCCCTGAAGTAGGCACTGGGATACCTCCGCTTTGATTTTGTCTACTGTAAAATGGGGCAGAGAGAAATTTGCCCAAGGTCTGTGATTTGGTGCCCTGATATTATCTAGACTGGGGTGTGCGTGTGTCTCCAATCTTGGCAACTTTTTAAGACTTGTGGACTTCAACTCCCAGAATTCCCCAGCCAGCTCTGTTGTGCAGGGGAATTCTGGGAGTTGAAGTCCACAAGTCTTAAAAAAAGTTGCCAATTTTCGAGGCTCCTGATTTGGACTGCAGGGGGGCTATGCTGTTTTTTTCACACACCAGAAACTCTTTGATTGTGACGGTTTGTTCTTCCTTCTTGTTCTTAGCCGCGATGATTCCCGTTTTGTTAGCCAGCTGGGTTTCCTATGAAGATGTTAGCGAAGAGGTACCTGTCCTTGCAACCGATCCAGCCAGAGCAATTTCAATAACCAACCCACAGTCGAAGACAGTAATTCAAGTTTATTTTTATCAACTCTATTGATAAATGATGCCATCCGAGTCCATTGAATCTGGCTAAACCCCTCCCCCCACTTCCCATCTTCGCCAGTTGTAAACCTATACAGTAACACAGAGGCCTATACTGGAAACCAGAAGAACTTGTATGGTTATGACAAAAATCATAGGCATACTGACCCCTATATACAACAAACAGTATACACAAAGAAAAGGGGTTTTTGTTGTCATCGCCGTCGCTGCTGTAAACCATGCACACCACAGCATAAGGACAAAATTGTGTCTCTTGATGGAAGAGCTGTTCAAGGGCGTGGAATCAGGTCAGCTAATTTGTTGAGAGCCGAGCATCTCTCCCTGTTAGAATCAGTGCTAGATGCTAGATGCTAAATAAATATTTTGTTTATTTCAGTTTTAAAAACACTATGCAAACCCCACCCCCCCGCCGCTTTTTTTGGCATTTTGCTAAAGATATGCCCCACCCGGCTCCTCTTGAATTATTAAAGTTTTAGGGCTCCGAAGCAGCGTTTCTTAATATTAGCAATTTTTAAGATATGCTGGCTGGGGGATTCTGGAAATTGAAGTCCTGCTATCTTAAAAAGATGTTGCTGGCCTAAAGGAACCCCCGTTGCAAGGAACTCCAGATTAACTTGGCCCCAAGTTCTACATTGGTTCCTTGCTAACTTTGCGACCTCCAGATCTGTCAAACAGGACAGAATTCTGTGGACTTCAGTCCCAGCACATCTGAAAGGAGCAATTGGGCCAGGCCAGTTAGCCTGCCAAACCGACCTCCAAATTATGTCTTTCGCCTCAAGGCTTCTTATAATGTAGTGTCTCAAATTTTAAAAGACTTATGTTTTCCCCCCCAAAGGCTGGTTAATATTCAGTATGCCCAAAACAAGGGTCTCAACTTCCTCAGAGTCGAGAAGGAAAGTTACATTAACTTGTACAGCAATGAAGTACATAAGACTGAAATGAGCCATCAAAAAGCTTCCAAAACACAGAGCTATTTATCACTGCAGTCTTCACAAAGAGGTTTTGCATAGAGATTCACACTGTCCAAGTGCATCCAGTTTCCCGGTTATTTCTGAGGATCAGGAAGAGAGAAAGAGAAAGAAAAAACACCAAAGTGGAGCTTTTCTTAAAGGGACCAAGGAACAAAAGCCCTCAACGGATGCCAGGCCCATTCCAAAACATCTGGAATGCTGTAACTCCTGCCCCTATTCTAGACACCCACCAGTCAACGGGGAGCCAATGCTGTAGGCTAGGGATGTTCAACCCTGGCACATCCAGTGGACTTCCATCCATGCTGGCTGAGGAATTTTGGGAGTCGGAGTCCGCAAGCCTTACAAGCTGCCGCGGTTGGGCACCCCTGCTCTTGTAGACTTGGGATTCCTGCCTGGAGAACTGTGCGCTGGTTTCCATCGGTGCAAACACCGAACGGACATTACACACCAGGGACAGGAAGGGCTATTTTCCAGAAAGAGACCAAGGATGGAGGGAAACTGAGCCAGCTCTCAAGCATCTGTGGATCCTCCATCCAATTCTAAAACCCAACGCCTTGAAGGACACAAGGGCAGAGCCAAGGAAGGAAGCTCTGCGGGAACAGAGAACCCAGAGCATCAAGACAGATGAGACCATAATTCAAGATGACCGCTCGTTTTAGACCCCTGGAAATGACACCACTGGACATTTAAGAATCTGTATGATATTTAGCAACTGCTTCAACTCTACGTCCCCAAAGGCTCTCCTGACACCTTCCTGGGTTTATCGGTTCAGTTAGTTTTTCAGGACTTTTATCTTCCTACTTTTCCATCTAGACAACCACCACCGTAACCAGAAAAGCTGAATTCCTTTACACAAAAATTGCTGTGTGCCATTGGACACAACGCGTAGGTGTCTGTCTCTCCCTTGTTGACAGATGTATGGGGCAGGCAATTTTCTTACACCCCCTACTCATTGGATATTCAGGGCACGGATGCAGGGTTGTGCGCGTGTACGTCTAAGATATGGCCAACTAACCTTACTTGGCAAATAATTCCCATATGCAGGGGTCTAACCTTGGCAGCTTTACGACTTGTGGACTTCATCTCCCAGAATTCCTCAGCCAGCATGTCCACAAGTTATAAAGCTCAATAGTAGCTACCCTCAAGAGTAGCTACAAGAGCAGAGGACACTTCCTCAAGACCTTGTAAGTCCGATACTGAGGAAAGCCGCCCCTTTCTATTGGTGGTCTCCTCCTTGCAAGCAAAGTTCGTAACTGCCTTACTGAATTGGTCCAAAATACAAGCAATATTGCATCATCCTTATTTTTCCAAATCTGATGATAACTGGAATCCATCCTCCCAAATGCTCAAAAGTCACGCTGGGTCATAAAAAGTGTTTGAAAAGCAAAACGAAGGCTGGCGTTGCCCCCTCTGATGAAGATGGCTGCTTCGATTGGGAAACAGCTTCTGCTATAATGATTCAAAAAAAAGGAGAATTTTTCCAGGATAAAAGCTTCGCCACCCCCTCTCCCTTCTAAAAGAATACACAGGTTGCAAGAATTATTATTAAAATGGACAGAGGGCATGGAAGGCCACCTCTCTTTCAAAAAAAACGTTCACATGTTCCCGTATACTTTTAAAAATGCATTAAAATCCAGCCTCCTCAGAGAAGCCTACGGTTGCGTTTTCTAGTGCCAACACTCAGCAAACCGTTGGGGCTTTCTCTCGCGTTCTCGCTACCTTGAAAGAAAACAAAGCTTGGGCTCCATCAACGGCCGTGGCAGTCAAGGTTTTTCTTTTTAAACCCCGATTAAATATTTATAGGCCAAATCTTCTTATCTTTGCTAAAAGCCAATTTACACCACCAGGTCCTCATCAACCGCTTTCCTCCTCAGGTTTTTTTCCCCTCTATACTTCAACCCATCAGGTCTTTTTCTGTTTTGTGGCCGTTTGCATCCTGTCAAAAGATGTTGATGAAGCCAACACCAAACTCTTTTTTTTTTTTTTTAAGGATCTGAAATGGGTCTTTTTGGAGTTTTGAAAAAAAATCACTTCGGGCGGGGAGGGTGCGTGTGACAATTAAGCCTTGTATTCCCACCGAAATGAGGGTGCTGAATCCATTCCCCAGTAGGGTAACGGACCTTAGAAGCAGAAAGAGACTTGACATGACTCGACAGTTTGTGTGGCAAGGCTGACCCAGGCAGGTCATTGAGGCTTTGCACTCACTTTGGCCACCCCTGTCCATGCTTTTAGTGGCCAGAGGCAGCCCCCTCCTACCTGGGTTGGCCGGATGTCGGGTGGAGCTTAAGAGAAGCCCCACCTACTCAGCGAAGACGCCTTCCAGGGCAGGAAGAAGCTACGGCCAAGAGGCACAGCACAGTTTTTGCCATGAAAAATATTAAATAAAGAGTATTAAATGGAACCGTTGGCTTCTCCAATTGACAATCCTGAAAGGCATAAGCGAATGGATCTGCAGCTACCCACTGCCCAATTTAATCACCCCTTCCCAGGTGTTTCCTGATCTCTGAGACCTGGAGGGAATATAAAAAACGTACCAGAATCTCGGGCCACTTTATACAATGCAGAGACGGCTCCCATCTCAGGAAACCCTCCTCCTTCCCCCCATCGTAGTCCTTTTAGCGCAGCCTTTGCTGTTCCCGCTTGGGATCTGCCAAGCCATCATGGTGGACCAGAGCCTAGCCCAAGAGGCCAAACCTTTCTGTCTTTCTTGGCAGGGACAGGTCCGAGACAACACAGATTAAAAGGTTCACCCACCGACAGCACAACACTGAATGCAAAAGGCCTCCAACCCTCGCCCCAGCTCTGTGCCCTTCCTCTCCTGCCCCCTCCTCATCGCCACTGTTCCACGTTCCCGATGTAATCTGCGGTCGCGTTCCGTCCCTCCGCCTCCCGGGTGCGGCCCAGCTTGCCGCGCGAGACCTTCTGCTGCTCCTGCCGTTTCCGCCGGGCTTCCTGGTGCTCCTTCTGCCTGGTGAACTGGTACCGCTGGAGGAAGAGATCTTTTGCATAATCGTAGAGGTCCGTGTCTAAAAAATTGAGGGCCTTGATCCGCTGCTGGGTGGCCCCCTCGATGTCCACGCTGGAGGCCCTGGTGCTGTTGTACTGGGTGAAGGGCGAGATGAAGTTCATGCTGAAGGTCTTCTCAAAGAGGTACTGGGTCTTCCGCTGGAATTCCGTCAGGCCGAAGAAGGCCATGCGCTTGAGGTTCTCCTTGGCGCTGTCCAGGAGCACCTGGTTCCGTTGCTCTTCCGGCATGACGGACAGGTTGTAGCAGCCCACCAAGCTCAGGTCAGCCAGCATGCGGACTTGACGGTTGTTGGCCAGGTTGTAGGGGCAGTCCATGAACTCCTGCAGGGAGCAGCCCGACCAGTCGTCCCCCGAGTAGCAGCTTGGAAGTTCCTCGGAAGTGGGGGGCCGCCCATCGCAGACGTGCAGGGAGGCCTTCCAGGTGGCTCCCCTTTGGACATGCCTCCATTCGCTCAGGTAGCGGGAAACCGGGTCCCTCAGGATGGTGATGTAGTAGTAATTCCTGAGGGACGAAAAGAACGAGAAAAAAGCACCTTTAAGGAGAGAAGGGCTCTGCGGGACGTTCATCGATAAGCAACTGCAGTTGGGCTACGTCCCTGCCCAATTCAAACCCACTGAACCGACTTGCAGGGAGTTCTCGGCTTACGGAAGCGCATTTAGTGACCGTTCAAAGTTACCACAGCACGGGGGGAAAAGTGACTTATGACTGCTTTTCACACTTAATGATAGTTGCACACTTAACAACGGTTGCAGCGTCCCCATCATGGTCATGCGGTCAAAATTGGCAACCGTCTCAGATTTACGACGGTTGCCGGCCCCCGGGGTGTGTGCCGTGCAATTCCCCCTTTTGTGACTTTAGCCAGATTCGCACTTAACAGCCACGTCACTAAGTGAACAGCCGAAGTGATCCACTTAACAATTTTGGCAAGAATGGGTCCCAACTCACTTCACAACCGTCTCGCTCAGCAACAGAAATTTTGGTCGTAAGTCAAGGGCTACCTGCATTTATCGTTTCAAGCTCCTGAACAGGCAGAAAAGGAGACTCTGAAGGAACCGCTACCGAAGACGTCAGACCCACTTAGGCCCAAAGAACTGTCCCAAAAATAGAACTGCAAAACTCACACACAAAGTAAAATTCTTTAATGTCAACCCCCGTCTTGCTTGCTTTACTAGCGTACACCACAAGAGGTCGCTGTTCCACAAAAAGAAAAGGAAAAAAACCCCCAGAGCCCAGGGTTATTTTAACAGAAGAAAACAGCTAAAAAGTAAACTTTCTCATTAAAATCTGGAACAAAAAAGCACCATCTCTCTCAGATGCCCCTTCAAGAGAAAAGGACCTGAACTGTGCCAAGCCTTCAGAGAGCCCAAAGCAGATCGCTATACGGAGACTTATGGAGAGCTGCAGATGCCAGTGAATCAAGTTGGCTTGTTTTCTCCCCCTCTGTGGACTGAAAATCTGCAGATCCCACTTTCCTTTTTGACTGATGACATTTTAAGTGTTTCTTTCCGACTGGCAGAAATCAAGCAGCATTGAAGCAGAAAGAAAAGGGGACGTAAACATTGCCTTAACCCGTCTACCTACCCAACAGGCACCTTTTCACCCCAAAAACACAAAAAATGCACCACCCCAAGCCCCAGCACATCAATAACACAATATGCATCACCATGTAGGTACCTGCAGAGTGCAGTAAAAAAAAAAGGAAAATCAAGATAGGAGCTACAATATTGTGGTTGAAATCCCACCTGTGTTTGATGCAATAGCAATAGCACTTAAGACTTATTTACCACTTCGCAGTGCTTTCCAGCCTTTTCTAAGCAGTTTATAATGTTTGTCCCCCAACAATCTGGGTCCTCATTTTATTGATCTCGGAAGGATGAAAGGTTGAGTCACCCCTTCAGCCAGTCAAGCATCAAACTGCTGGCAGTGGGCAGAGTTAGCATGAAATGCTGCATCCTAACCACTGTGCCACCAGGAAGGAGAATGAAAAAGGGAATAAGAGGGAGGGAGGAAGGAAGGAAAGAAGGAAGGGAAGAGCACTAGCACTCAGGCTTTTCCCCTAAAACCCTCCTCCAAAATAGCAAGGAAGTTTTGGAGGCTTCCTTTGGGCGTGCAGCAACAGGGTCTCTTGGCCACGTTCATTAAAAACACCGTCTGCAGGAAAATGCCTCCTCCCCTCCCCTCTTGTCTTAGAAGTTTTTTCAAATATTTGATTAAGGGAAGGAATAAAGGAAGCCCAGCTTAGTGTGCTTAACTGGGGATGTGCAAGCACATTCAAAGCAGGAGATCGTTTTTATGAAAACGCGCATTGCTATTTTAAGGTCCTACAATGCAGCAGTATTTTTCTCCCCCTTGCTTGAATTTTAAAAGGAGGGGGGTGGGGAATGAAGAAAGGGAAAAATGAATATCTAAGCACATCCAAAGAACGCAAAGTGTTCGAAAGTTAATTACAGGTGAGAGTGCCAGGGCATTTTAATAATAAAATTGTGCTTTTCCACTGGCAGCAAAGCTATCTCACACTGCCATTGTCCACCGAGCCCCATTTAACCCTCCTCGGGCTGCATTTTCACACAAAGCGCCATTTTTCCATCAGGAAATGTTCTCCGCCTTTTAGATACAGATTAACAGACTTGGAAGGGACCGTGTAGGTCATCTAGTCCAACCTCCCCACTCAAGCAGACCCTTTGCCACAGTCCAAGCTGTGGTCCTGTGTCGATTGTTACAAAAAATCCAATCTTTTGAGGAGGAAGCTGGCCTCGAGCCTTCTTGGCTCGGAAAGGAGGGGCCATTTGATGGCGGTCATCCTTGAATTACGACCATTCATTTGAAGTTACGACAGTTCTGGATGAAGGGAGTTACGAGCAGTCCTCACAGGTGGCTGGGGGATTCTAGGAGTTGAAGTCCACCGGCCTTAAAGCTGCAAGGTTGGAGTTCTCCTGGTTCAGACCCAGAGCTAACGGGGTCTCCAACCCGCCACTCAACCCACAAAGAACACACACCATCCCCAAGGGCCAAAGACGTCACCCCAGCCCTCTCCATTCCCAGCACAGGGAGTCACTCTGCAAACATTTCTCTGCTCCCACCAGCAGAAAACGCAGACCCAGAGACTCCCATGCGAGGGACACCATTAGAGAAGAAGATCCGGCTGTTGTAATTAATACAATTAAATACAAATATCTTCCCAGTCTCAAGGCAAAAAATTAATTTTTTTTAAAAAAACCCGGACAGGGTGATCAAGCGGTGCCAGCAACCCCCAGTAATTTTAATTTAAGCTTCCACTTAAGGCAGCTTGGGTAGGTGATGTGGGAGTTGGTCTCAATTGAAGCAAAATAAGTATATATTATCGTAGCCCACCAAACAGCCCTCCGGTATCCTCCCCGCCTAAGCGGAAGGGGATTCTCCTTTAATTGAATTGGAAAAGCAACCCGTATTAGCTAAGGAAACTTAATCAGCAGCGTCAAATTGAAACGGGGCCGTCCGGCAAGTGCCGCATCCCTGATTAAGTCGCTCGCAAACCGCTTGGCAAGAACTGCAGAGGCTTGTAATGATCTCAAGTCCCCGGACTCCCTCCGGAGAGGAAACGGGAATCTTAGAACTGGCAATTAGAATATTTTATGCGCGTTTTTTTCCTCCCTTGCACGGCACAAGGGCCCCTCGCTCCTTTGCCAAAAGAATTGAAGGGCTAGCCAGCAAAAAAGAAAAGCCCATCATTTCTTTTTTTGCATGCTCTATTTTTCCTCTAGTCCTCCCAATTTTAGGAAATCAGGGGTGAGGGGTTTCTGCCCCCCCCAGAGGACTAAATCCAAGGGATGTTCTGGAGAAAGCCCCACTGGGTCAGGGAGGGAATCTCTTGGTCGACCTCTGATTCACAAGATCCTCAGGCCTGCAGGACGAAGTCGCCCGATGAAAAAGAGGATCGATCCCTAACTTGAAATGCTCGTTTCATTCGAGGTGCTAAAACTCGTCTGCTCCCAACAGCTTCTCAAGAGAGGTTGGTTTTTAGCTTGATCTGATGCCTCCAGGAGTTGTGGGGGCCTTTAAGAAGAGACTGGACAGCCACTTGTCCGAAATGGTATAGGGTCTCCTGCTCGAGCAGGGGGCTGGACTAGATGACCTCCAAGGTCCCTTCCAATCCTATTATTCCATGTCCAGTTCTCCAGAGCCCCCGAGGGCGGGACAAGAAGCCACAGGATGGAAACTCATCAGGGAGAGAAGCAACCTAGAACTAAGGAGAGATTTCCTAACAGGGAGAACTCTCAACCAGTGAAAGAGTTTGCCTTCAGAAATGATGGGGGCTCCGTCACTAGAGGTTTTCAGGAAGAGATTGGACAGCCATCTGTCAACTGAGCTCCTATTTCAGCAGGGGGCTGGACTAGAAGACCTCCAAGGTCCCTTCCAACTCTGTTGTTCTTTATTCTATCACCCCCATCCTCCTTGGCCGCTGTGGGCAACAACTGTGGTGGATAATGGGACATTGATGGAGGGGGAGAGAGGGAGGGAGGAGGAGGGAGGGAAGGGGAAAGGAGGGGAGGAGAAGGAAGAAGGGGGAAAGGAGGGGGAGGGAGGGAGGAGAAGGGAGGAAGGAGTGAAGAAAGGGGGAGAGAGGGAGGGAAGGAGGAAAAGGGAGAAGGGAAAAGGGCGAGGGAGGGAGGGAGGAGAAAGGAATGAAGGAGGAGGAAGAGGGAAGGAGGGGAGGGAAGTAGGATGGGGGAAAGAAGGAGGGAGAAGGGGGAGGCTGGATGGAAAAATAAAAACAGTTTGCTACTCATTGTTCTACAAAGCGGGGCGGGGGGGAAGGGGGAGCAAATTAAAAAGGCTGACAAACACTCCCCGATGTTGTCAGCGATGTACAAACAAGAAATCCATCAGCTCACAAAACCGAGCCCTTCCCTTCCAAGCAGCCGAGAAGGCAGCCGTGCCGCCTTCAGCTCCTCTCTCCGTGATGGGTGGCTTGCCCCTTCCCTTCGGAGTGGGGGGGGGAGGCTGGGATGCTGGGCTCCCCCCCACCCTGGAATCTTAATCAGGCTCATCACAGTTCTGTAAAAACAAATCAATAGATGCTCTTGGCAGGATAAGTTAATTAATACCACCGCACCTCTGCAGCTGTCACTCTTGCCCCCTTCAAGTGTGCTTCTTCCACAAAAGAAAGGAAAAGAAAAAAGAAAGGGAGGGAGGAAAGGAAGGAAGGAAGGAAAGAGAGAAGAAAGAAAGGAGGGAGGAAGGAAGAGAAGGAGGAGGGAGGGAGGAAGAAAGGAAGGAAAAGAGAAGAAAGGAAAGAAGGAAAAGAAAGGGAGGAAGGAAGGTGAAGAAAGAATGAGGAAGGAAAAGAGGAAGGAAGGAAGGAAAAGATAGAGAGGGAGGGAAGAAGGAAGGGAAGGGCCAGTCCTGAAGCTCTGAGCCCTTGGGCCAGGTGCTCAGCAAAAGCTGAACACTGATCTAAGTTGCCCCTTTCCGACATCACAGGCAGGCAGAGGCGTCAGGCTCACCAGACAGACTTGCTCTTA